AATCTATACTACTTTCTGACCACGCCCCAATAATCTTATCGATTAAGTTTCCCAATTATTATTCATCTCCACCTCCATTTCGGTTTCAAGCTAAATTGCTGAAGTCTGCAGAATTTGAGAAATTTCTTGAAGAAAAAATAACGGAATATTTCAACTTTAATAGAGACCAGACCAGTGCATCAATAAAATGGGAAGCATTTAAAGCCTATATAATAATGAGCTACACTCGGCATAAATCAAAAATACATCTAAACAAATTGAAAGACATTGACAAGCAAATTAAGGAATTGCAGGGCCAGCTGTATCACTGTGATGACACTGAAAAATATAAAAGGCTTCTCATATTAAAATCTGAATATAATGAACTCACTACTAGTAAAATAGCAACTAGTTTAATGTGGTTGAAACAGTCATACTACGATCAGGGTGAGAAGGCAGGGAAACTCCTGGCGTGGAGACTTATGAAAATCCAGACAAGTAGGGCTATTAACTCAATTGTGCTTGACAATGGAGATAATTTAGTGGATCCAAAAGGTATAAATGACGCTTTCGCATTTCACTTCTGTTGAAACCGGGTAAAGCCAGGACAGATATGGGCTCTATATCCTTAATGTCATGTGACACCAAAATACTATGTAAAGCTCTGGCTCGGAGGATTGAATCACATCTTCCTAGCTTAATTTCAAACGACCAAAATTGATTTGTTCTTGGCCGCCAAGCTTTTCACAATTCCCGCCGATTGTTGAATATATTATACGAGAACCAATTTGCCATGGATCACGCCTTTCTGTCATTGGATGCAGAAAAGGTGTTTGACAGGATCGAATGGTGTTATCTTTTTGGGAAACTCAACAGATTTGGCTTGGGGGAAAAATATTTGAATTGGATCCGATTATTTTATTCAGAGCCTATAGCCAAAGTGGTAACAAACAGTCAGTTATCAAGACCCTTTAGCCTATGTAGATCGACACGGCAGGGATGCCCGTTATCTCCCATACTCTTCTTGTTTGCTATCGAGCAGCTCGCTATGGCAATACGTAATTCCCCTGATGTTAATGGTATTAAAATTGGAGGTACGGAACATCTTTTGTCTCTTTTTGCAGATGACGAAGTCTTGTTTTTAACATATCTAGGGGGGTCTGTTCACGCTGTTGGCCAAATTCTGAAGGTTTTTGGTGAATTCTCAGGGTATAAAATTAACCACAAAAGCTCTGTGTTAATGTTGAACAAAGATAACCCTGCAATACAGACTCAACTTACATGTACCTATGAAGACTTCACTTACCTGGGAATTAGAATAAATCCTGACAAAGAAAATTGTGCCCATAAATTATGACCCCTTGGTTAAAAGTGTATCGGACTCGGGGATGCCGATTTCTATGATAGGTCGCATTAATATTATTAAAATGTCCATCCTCCCAAAATTCTTATATCTTTTCCAGTCCATCCCCTTACACATTCCGGCCTTTTTCTTCTCCTCCCTGAATAAATGCCTTACCAGATTTATATGGAATGGCAAGCGCCACAGGCTGCAGCTTTCCCTTCTATATCTGCCCTATGACCGGGGGGGGGGGCGGCTTGGATTTCCTAATGTTAAGATGTACTATTGGGCAGCTCAACTTTGTGCTGCTACTCATTATTTTTCCACCACTGATACGCCATTTTGGGTACACATTGAGAACAATACACTAAAGCTGCCTTTAACATCTTATTTTTATGCAGCCGAATTATTGAAAAACACGAAAAATTAATTTCTCAAAAACACTATATCAATCTGGCACCAGTCCCATTCTGCCCTGTCGGAGGTATCTAAGCTGTCATGCTTGTCGCCAATTTGGGGAAATGATAGATTTAAACCAGGAAGGGCAGACAGGGGGTTTAGGATTTGGCTGAATAATGGCTTGAATGGTATTGGGGACCTATATAATGAAGGAGTATTGATGTTTTTTGAAAAATTGGTAGATAAATATGGTTTGCCCAGAAAACATTTTTTTAAGTACTTACAGGTGAGAAGTTTCATCACTACCCAACTACAGTCTACTGTGAAACTCCCACTATCCACTATAGACGACATAGCTGTTAACCATAATCAAAGTAGAGGCCTGCTTTCCAGGTTTTACAACATTTTACTGCTTTCCTCTAAAGAAAGTAGTCTTTCATATTTTCAAGCATGGAAAACTGTTTACAAATGGAAATCTCAGATGATGAATGGAACAACTCCTGTCGGTTGGCACAGACACAAACTATAAACACCAGGTTTAGGTTGCTGCAGTACAAATGGTTATTTAGGACCTATATTACCCCTGTTAAACTTCACCATTTTTCACCAATTCTAATATTCCTGAAGTATGTGTAAAATGTGGGGTCGACAAGGGCACCCTTTTTCATTGTATGTGGCAGTGTCCAGAACTTCACTACGTTTATTTCCCGTTTGGACGAATACGACATGCCTATGGACGGTGGACTCTGCTTGCTACACATTTTCCCTGTGGGATTTTAAGGGACCTCAATAAAGAGGAAACTTATTAGTTTCTGCTTATTGCAGGCTAAACATGTAATCACTCTGAACTGGAAGGACACAGGAAGACCAAGGGTAAACCAGTGGATTAAACTAATGTCTAGCAACCTGGCACTGAAGAAACTGACCTACATTGCGAGAGGAAAATTTGATGACTTTAAAGATATGTGGTTGCCTTTTCTGTGCGCCTCGTGAAATCAAGTGACATGTAAACTATATGTTTTGTTGATGGAGTGAGCATGGGGTTCTAGGGTGGGAGGAGGCCTTGTCCTCTGGTTTTGTTTTCTTTTCCTCTTTGTAAATTTGTCCTTGAATGTTGGAAAATGTTTAAAAAATCTAATAAAGATAATTGTGAAAAATAATAATATATAGTTCACCCAGCACAGCCAGAAGAAGACTGGCCACCCCTCAGAGCCTGGTTCCTCTAGGTTTCTTCCTAAATTTGACTCATCAGGGAGTTTTTCCTAACCGTATCACTTTTATCAATTTGTTGATGTGTGCTCTGTTGAGTTCAGGCTGGGTGTTTGTAAAAGCACTTTGTCACAGCTTTGTTGTAAAAAAAAGCTTTATAAAATACATTTGATTGATTGATTGTTGGATTGACTGGATCTGGTCCTATGGATGGATCCCAGAAGAACATCTCTGTGTATGTCAAGACTGTCAGACATATCTCCATCCAGCACAATAGATTGCGTTCAGTCAGATGGTTATAAAACCAAGAACATACAGCAGGACTAAGGCCTATTGATGACAATTTCTTCAATAAGATACTTTTGTCAACAGCGCCAAAGGCCGTAGACAAGTCAATAAACAATGCAGCACAAGTCAATTTCGTATCCAGAGCATTAACAATATCTTTCACAACAAGTGTAGAAGCAGTCTAAAACCAGATTGATTTGCATTTAAAAAAGCATTTTACAGCCAGGAAGGAGCAAAGCTGCACATTTATCAATGACTCAAGAATCTTTGCTGGACAAGCTAACCTTGAGATTGGGCAATAATTGTTGAAATCACCACTATCACTCCCCCTTATGAAGAGGCAACACATATGCAGATTTGCGATTTAGGAATACATTCTAACGCTAATGTCAAGTCCAAAAAAGGCGTTGCGCTAGCAATAAAGGATGCTCCACATTTTAATAGATCAGGTTCCAATTAGATTTTTATTAGGGTCTAAAGTTAATAACGAATCAAGGACTTCCTTACTAAATATTGTCTAAAAGAAAACCTGGAACCCACATTCTCAGTATCAGTAAAAGATTTCCTTGAACGGAATCCAGGTCACAATTAAATTGTGATGACCTAGCTACTGAATAAAATGTATAGCTTGCAGAACATTTTTTGATTAAATGCATCAATTATTATCATTTCAATCTCATCAGCGATGATGCTAATGATAATTTGATGCAGGAGTGAAAAATAGCTACAACCCTGAACAACTGAACAAACACTAGACTTTATTTTAGTTGGTCCGGACTAAAGACTGTAAATCGAGCTTTGGCCCAGGTAATGGCAGATTTATGTGTGAGACAGAATAACAAAAGAAAATCCAGAATAATACATTATAAATAAATAAATTATTAATTGAATTTAGAGGGAGTACTCCTAATCTCAGTGTGTAACCTGTATAAAAGACATCTGATTGACAGGGAATCAAATACTTATTCACTAGTAAAATGCAAAACAATTTAAAACTTATTTGAAATGCCTTATTCTGGATATGTTTTTTGTTATTCTGTCTCACTGTTCAAATAAATCCATTATACATTTGAACTGTGTTGTCCAAAGACCTGCAGGGGAGTCCCTCACGGAGTTTCAATGCCAATAAGGATGGTGAGGAATCAGCCCACGGGAGGATCTTGTAAGTGATTTCAAGGCCAGAGCAACACATTAGTGGCTCAAGAAGAAGCACATTAAGATCTTGGAGTGGTTTAGCCCGTCTCCAGAACTTAATCCTAGAAATAAAATCTGTGGAGGGAGCTGAAGGTTCGAGTTGCCAAATGTCAGCCTCGAAACCTTAATGACTTGGAGAGGATCTGTAAAGAAGAGTGGGACAAAATCTCTCCTGAGATGTGTGCAAATCTGGTGGCTAACTAAAAGAAACGTGTGACCTCTAAGTTTGCCAACAAGGGTTTTGCCACCAAATACTATGTCATGTTTTGCAAAGAGGCCAAATACTTATTTTAAAAATGCTAATCAGTTTATGACTCATTTGAAATGGTTTGTATAATTTTTTCCTTCCCTATATACACAGTGGGGAGAACAAGTATTTGATACACTGGCGATATTGCAGGTTTTTCCACTTGCAAAGCATGAAAATCACATTATATGATTTTAAAAAATCATTTTGCAGTTTATTTTTTTTTGCTAGATTCCATCACTCAGAGTTGAAGAGTACCTATGATAAAAATGACTCCTAGATGCTTTGTAAGTGAAAAAATCTGCAAAATCACCAGTGTAACAAATACTTAATTTCTGACTTGGGTCCTGTAGGAATCAAACCCACAACCTCTGGCGTTGCAAGCACCACGCTCAACCAACAGAGCTACACAGGACCGTTTGAAAGATAGACAGCAAAGAAAGAAAACAACAGAGAAAGATGACAAAAAAGAGAGATGGCAAGACGTATATGTCTAGAACAAACAAATATGAAGAAGGGTAGTAAAGAGAAAATGTGAGAGAAAATGATTTAAAGGTTTACCCTAGGATAAATCCCCAAATCCAGGGCAGGCCCAGTAAGAAGTGGGAGAGTATGGATACAGTGCAGGCCTCCATTACACAGGGTCCAACTGCCACACGCAAACACACCATACTCAGCTTCTTTAGAGCCTGAGAAGACAAGAAACACAAAACACACACAAATACATTATAGAATATTAACTTAGAGCACTGGACAGTGGTAAGAAATGAGCCATGTTTAATTGACGCACCGGGCCGTCCAATCCCAAGCCTGCTCTGGCCAAGATAATAGCAAGGGCAATGTTCCTGAGGGAGGCGGACCATTGAAAGTCAATGTACACAGCGTCTGTTACCACAGGGATGTTACGCAGAAGGAAACCTGTCAGTAGCATACCTGTTGAGAAAAACAGAGAGAAATCTGTGAGAAGTTCTGTTATTCTTTGAATTTTCTCTCACAGCGAGAGAGCCAAGATATCAGCCCCTTCTCCACAATGCAATTCAAAGGGGGTTTACTATATAAGATGCATTTTGCATTGAGGTGTAAAGTTAAATGTAAGTAACAAACATAAAAAATATATATCTGCCGTATTAAAGTGACTTGACATTGAAGTAACAAATATAAGATAAAATATCACTAAACCAGAGGTCAGCGAGAGCTGTATTCAGGATTTTAAGTAATTTGACATGGTATACCAGGTGTTTCTTAAGTAATTAGCTCAGTTAGCTCAGTTGTAGCTACATGTATTTGTTAATTGTTTGCATTTTATTTCCCTAACATCTATTGCACAGCATAACAGATGTTATAAAGGATAGAGATTATTTAGAAAAAAAAAAAAAAAGTTTCATGAGTAGGAATAAACCCATGCTGCAGCAGTAAATGTGCCCCTTTTTTATATTTTTGTCATGTCTTAGCACACTGATTAATGCCCTCATCTGTTTCCCCAATCACTATCCTTATTTAAATTCCTTATTTCCTAGTGTCAGTCTTTGTTTGGCTTAAGCCTTTGTTGCGTTCTGCTTATGTCTTGTCTTGTTTAGTGTTCTTTTGTTATAGTTTAAAATGTTATCAATAAAGGTCCTTCATGAGCTTGTGTCCCGCCCTCCATTTCATGAAAATTTTACTGACATTCAATGTTTCATATACTTTTTTTAATCTGAATCCCCTTTATCTTTAGGTTTTTGGCTAGACTGATTACACTGTTTATACTTTCTGTAAAGTCTGTATTTGTCTATTTCTATATATTTTCTTCGTACAGTATTTGTGTGGTTCTGTGTAATTTGCTGTAGACTTGACTAGATTTGGTTAGGTTCTCATAAAACAATCTGGCTAATTGTAACAAGGTCCTGAATGAAGTGCGTAATCAGGACGAAGCCAGAAACATGAACAGTAGCGTTAGTGGTGTTTTATTGCAGACACGCACCACAGTAAACGCTCACAATAGTACATGAAAGTACTAGTAATCTTGAGAAAATAATAAACTGTGCGACACAGCGGCGAATGAGAAGAATAATGCCTCCACAATTAAGTTCTGGGATTATTTTAGCTCCCTCATAACCATCAATTTCTGGATTTGCCTGAGTGTTTTGTAGCACAGAGCTGTTGCAAATTATATTTTTGGTTCAGCATTATCTTTTTGACAGATGGCCTCACAGATCTTCTCTGGTACAATGTAGAATTAATTGTTAACTCAACAAGGGCATGCAGACCATAACACCACCATCCTTAAGGTTGGTGTATGCTTCTCCTGTTTAAGCCTTTGTTTTGTTTATTTGCCAGTTGTGACGTCTGGAATAGCAACCAAACAACGCAGCCTTAGACATGTCAGTCTAGAATGCATTGTTCATGATGTTTTGTTCTTCATTCAGGTGTTGTCTGTAAACCTTGAGTTTATATCCCATTTAAGATATAAATTTGATGGGATGATCAAAAAATGCATGAATGACAATCAATTACAATCAATTACAAATAACTTGTAATCCAAATATGTAAAAAGAAATATATATATAAAATTGATTGAAGTTATATAGAAGTTATATTAAAGTTGTCTACACTGTATACTGTTTGATGACACCAAATTAAAGTTAGACGGCCAAAGACACAGAAATAACATTGCAAATTTTCTTTAAAATGATTTTGCCGATGGTGCAGTCAAAGCTGTGCCCTTTCTCTAGCAGGTTTTGTTTGTATTATGTTACAAATGCAAACAAAATGTAATTCACCCCCTACCAGACTAGGTCAACAAGGGTGTTGTTTTCAGTTTAGGTGGGATATTAACTTATTCCTGGGTGTGGTGGTGCTTAGATGGCAATGTGCAAGCCAGAAAAATCAGGGAGAGTTTGTCTATCAATGTATTGTAGTGAAAATGAATGGTATAAATAAATAACTAATTAAATGCATATATATATATATATATATATATAATGTATATATATATATATATAACTCCATTAAATTATGATATATGCAATGATATTATGAAAATGCCATGATTTTATCAAATGTTGTTATGACGAAAATAAAAAGATTAGAAAATACAATGAATTATGATAAAATATCATACCACCATTAAAAAAAATGGTCCTTAATCCTATATATTTTAAGCTTCTTATTAGGTTTATATACAGGTGCTGGTCATATCACTAGAATATCATCAAAAAGTTGATTTCAGTAATTCTATTCAAAAAGTGAAACTTGTATAATGTATACATTCATTCCACACAGACTGATATATTTCAAGTGTTCATTCCTTTTAATTTTGATGATTATAACTGACTAAGGAAAAACCCCAAATCAGTATATATTTTATACATATATGAAATCAGATTGTGGGTTAAGGAATATAGGACGTTCAGGAACTACTGTTAGAAACACTATTAATGTATGTGTATTAAAAACAAACAATGACCTCATCCATAGGTCCAGCGTTTCCATCTATGAATGTTACCAAGGAACAAAGGTTTTTATGTACCATGCCATTAAGTCAGTGGTACTATATCAATCACTCAAATGTTTTTATAAAACCATTTCTACACCTGCAGTGACCCGTCCCCACATCCACTCTTTCTTCAAAAATGTATTACCTACCCAGGAGTGGAGGAAAAGGGGGCAGTTTGGGTAGACGTACGAGGCCTACCACCTTCCCCCCGGTGAAGGAGCAGATGAAGAGCACGACGATCCCGAACAGGTTCCTCCCCGGTAGACACTCCTTCTGTGTAATGGCCCACAGCACCCCAAACAGCACTAATGCAATGATGACTGGGAAAGAGAGTTGAAGCCAGTTAACAAAGTTCTGTGTTTCTGCCAATTAACTGTGAAATACCCTTTAGCTAAATACATAAAAAAATTAAAACACCCAGCTAGATATATTGAAAATAAAAACCATCAAAATACAACAGTTGTACTACTAGACGTGGTACAAAACCTGGAGTATTGAGGGTTATGTTTTCTATTCTGCTGCCCACCTTTGGTAATGAGAGAAGCCAGGAGGCCTCGGGGTGGACATGGACATGCTCGCCGGAGCCTGCCACAGCAGATGACTGGGGGGTCAGTGTTGGTGCCCGCGTCCACCCCCGGGTAACGGGGAATAAAGCAGGTGGTCTCCATGACCTGTGGGGTGGAACTCCGACGGACCACTACCTGAATCTTGTTTACACCCAAGGGTTGCTGGGAAGACAAAAATTGTATATGGATAGTTTAGCAAATAATGGGATATACCTGACACAGTGTAGATGTTTTACAATACACAACCAGAAGGTATTATGTAAGGATATTAAATAATTATCTCGATGAGCTATACAGTTATCCTAATTGCTTCTGATAGTTTGTCTGGAGAAGAGCTGTTAAATTACTATGAATCTGAAACATTTTGTGGCCCCATTGGGTATTTCAAGTAATTACAGGTGTTCCATTTATCTGGTCCTCTGCGTGGCTTTAACGGGTCTTCAGAGACTCCCAGATATTTCACAATGTTATTCTAGCCCTGATCAGTCCCACCAGATTCAATAACCAAGAACCTAATCAGCTAACAGATGTAATCATGTCCACTAGCTCAGAAAACCACTGTTGAATTGTTTAAAATGTATCATCATAAAAACACACAGATTGTGAGTTAGTTGACATAAATGTGTTAAATTATTTGATACTTTAATGGATTTAGAAACTGTCAGTCTAATGATTAAGTTTCAAACACACAATCCGTTGCCTCGAAAAACCAAGATGTCAATAAAACAGAAAACTAAAAGAATTCTACCTCAACATCTGAAGAATTATTTATACAAAATTACTCTAAGTATTCTATGCCAAAGCCATGTCCCATTGCTTCAGCTAGTCAGATCAATAAAATTGTAGGCTATCCATCAGTATTATAGCTAATGCACTGGCCACTTTTATTTAGGTCAATTAAATACTTAAATACCTCTGCATGATTTGTTACTGGCGAACCACCGCGACTTTGTTCTAGATCCAAAGGAGGAGGTGTTGTCGACTTTGGCTGGTCGTCCTCCATCATGGCTTTCAGTAGTCAACTAAGTCCCTTTCTCCAACTCTCTTCTCTTTTACAATAAACACATTGGTAGGGTGTGGTTTGTCATTGGCACGTTGCACTGCTTATTGCAATGTATGCTCTGTCCGGCACTAGCTGCAAATCAGCGAGTCGTCACCTGTTCATCAAAGGAAGTTAGTGTGTTTGCTGTTGACCGGGCAGGAGAACTAAAAGGCAGTTTGGCAAACATGGCTTTAAGACAAGTGGTTAAAGTTTGCCTGTTCAAGTAAAACACTTCAGCATGCAGGATTAATGTTTTGATAAAAGGAAGTCAACAAATCTGTATTGTAAAATAGACAACGTTTTTCATTTTGACAGCACCAGTATAGAATATGAA